ATTTGGGATTACCATTTAAAAACTGCTATTTTCTGAGACACTAATGAAGGCCATTCACATCAGAAAATCCAGTAGCTACAAAAGGAGTGAGCCGCCTAGACTCCAGAGTAAGGAGTCGAGAAAATGGTTTGTTTCTCTTACCATTAAAAAACTGCCACGTTTGCTTTAGACCTGTGAGAAGTCCCAAATACAGAAAACATGGAAGAGCTGCTTCCAACCTGTTCAGCTCTTGAAGATTTGGGAATGTAGATGTCACCAGCAGTCCTCGCTCTGCCACCGTTACCAGCAGCGCTTGTATCACCCCCTCTACTCATCACAGTCCTTGTACGGTGGAAGCTTGTCCTGTCCATGCACTAGAGCTGCAGAGCACACCAGGTGCAATGCAGCCTGCAGCTGCGTGATGCTAGTGACCTGCTCCAAGGCTATGACAAGTTACCTTCCACGTTTGGTTTCTAGAGTCCCAGTTAAGTAGCTGAAACTTTAAACAAGATCATAAGCAGTGATGAAAATCATACAGGATCTCAGTCTTTCTCCCTCTTAAGCATGACAAACATTTCCACTGGAACCCATGGAATTAAAGAGTACATTTTATAAGGCAAAATGCATTCCTGAGTAGGCGTTTGTACTAATTCAGGTGCTGAAGTGGTATAGCCACATGGCAGCACACTCTGTGGGCCAAGGTATTCTGCTTCTCAGCATGATTAACTTAGCAGGATGGAGCACAGCTCTGTATGGCTTTTAGTACCTATACTGGCTTAATGAGCACTAGCTTGCCTATCTCTAGGTGATGTATTTTTCCATAAAGGTGTAAGTCAGTAATCTCCTAGAGAAAAAGAGGACTAGAGATTTTAAACATCCCTTCTACTTCAGAGTAAGTTCAGGCAATCATATACTCAGGGCAAGCAGACAACTTTGCATTGCTGCACGTAGTAAAGACTGCAGTGGGAAGGCACAGCTTTGTATTTGAAGAAGTGGTGCCTTTGGACACAAATGAACCAGTGCATCCCCAGCCCCTCCCTAGGACTTCTGTCAAGGTGGCATTTTTTCCTTTGGAATCTGTGCTAGCTGCCCAGGGGCCAAAAGCAGAGCAGGTACTGGGAGCACCACCTGCTTCTGTAACTTCCCTTTTGTTCACAAAGCAGTGAACCAGGCGGCCAAACCGTTGACGGAGCAAAGCCTTGCCGTTCTAGAAGAAATAAGCCATCCCATGTGGTACAAATTCACTATCATGCCTGTGGATGACTCGCTAGTAATGAGCCTGAAGCCCAGAGACTTACAGCTGTTAAAATCAAAGTTCCCCTGCCCAAGTGGAAACTGACCTCTGTTAGCTTAAAAACTTGAGTGGCACCAAGGCTCCTGGGCAGCAGCAGAGCTTGCTCCATTCCCTGGGGTGGGAGGTGGAAGGAAGGGAAGGTCCCTTCCCCAGGTGCTGGCTCAGGACACTCCGAGGGGAGTAAGGGAAGACAGGTGCAAGTGGAGGCCATTTCCCAAACAAGGACAAGGCTCCTGAGGTCTCACCAAGTCTGTGACCCTACCTCGTCATTAGGTGCCAAAGCTGCTGGGCAAGGGGATGCCCGGTGGGAACAGTTTCTGGTTTAGCAGGGGCTGCACCAGAAGAGAGTTTCCTTCTACAACAGGGAATGGATTGCAGAGGGATTTGGTAGCTGCTGATGTGCAGGAAGGAAGGGGAAGAGTAGTCTCCTTCTCAGATGGTTCCAGCTGCAGTCTGCAGGCAGAACTGAAGCAAAGAACTCAGGTCTGCGGGCCTCCCCCTTGAATACAGGGCGTATTGCATGTATTCAGGGCACAGGATAAACTAAAACAGAAAAACATTTGGTTTCAGTTCTTATCTTAGTGGTGGCTCATCTTTTATTCATAGTACAGAAGGGGCAGAAGTTCTTATGAACGAAGAAATCCCCTTTCTTTCTGTGCAGGTTTCAGAAAACCAGTCAGCAGCAGAGCAACACTGTTGAACTCAGGAGGACTTCAGTCACCCGCTTCCTAATTCTCAAAGCAGTTAAAGCCCTGCAGTCTTTTTTTACCTTTTATAGTCACAGGACTAGTCAAGCAAAACCTTGATTGGATTATTCTGCTTTAATTACAAAATGCACTCAGACCAAAGGTGCAATAGTACGTGGTACTTATGTACACATTTCTCTCAGTTATAACACCAAAGACCAAAACGCAGTCTGGTCCTCCTGTAAATCAACCATTTCCCTCTGGCAAGATCTTCGGAGTATGAACAGACATCACAGTAATGCTTGAACTGCCTCTTGTGTGCAGGACACCAGACTCTGTATTTCATCATGTACTTTGCGATCCTTTAGGGTGGATCGCACAAGATATAAGCAAGAGAAAGGAGGCAAAACTGGAACGTTGGGGTAACGAGTTCATACCCCACCACCCACCACCCCCCCGGATAAGAAAAGCAGCGATGGGCCACTCTCTCCTTGCTGCAGTTACGACAAGGTAGGTAAATCACAAGGTTTTTTTATTGCTGGTGAACTCAAAACAGGCAACTTTAATCTACTGAGGAAGATACACGTACAAACAAATGTTAGGCCTTGTGCGTTTGTTTTTCTTCTTAATGTAAATGTCTCTACAACTTCAGTCCAGCTCCCATGCTCTTGCTGAGCTGCCACTGAGACCCCAGTAATGTGCTCTGGGCACTTCTGTAAGATGTTGTAAGAAGCATCACATGTATTAAAAAGGGAGATTTTGCAGAAACAACAAAGCTCTGACTGCAGCCATGTTGCTCAGAAAGAAGTCTGGCTAATCCTGCTGCATTAGGTACATGGTATTATGTATAATTAATTGATTAAGAATTTGCCGGGTCCCTTTCTGTTTCTGGTGTGCAAGCTGCAAGTAAAGTGCACTTCTGGGTGTAAATTACCACTCTATGAGAATGCAATAGCTGGGTGGTACATGTCAGACATCAGTGGCAGGCAGACTACAATAGCTGTTACAATGGCACAGGCAATAAGGATAATGGAATAAGATACTAGATGCTGCTGGGAAACACCTCCATAGTTTGAATATCTAAATATTACATCACTGAGCAAAACCAGTGTCATTGAGTGTGGACCTTCTAAAGTCAAGACACGACTGTTACCATATACCAGGTTAGCTCTGCAGACAGCCACTCTTCCTTCTCCCTCAGTCCCAGCTGCAGCTAGGAGTCACCGAACCATGTTGCTAACCCCTTTTAACCTTTTCGAAGAGTTTTGTAACAGCTAAGGAGAAAGTTGGGATCCTAAGGATGTTACTATGAAGCTGAGGGTTTCAGATGATGCTGGGGTGGTGTAGGAGGCAGCACACCACCACACTTAAGCTATGCTGTGAGAGGACAACCCAGCTTTAGACACTGTGTTCGGTGACTCTGACAGAACTAGGGCCAAAACGGGGAGATCCCAACTCTCACCTGCACCTTGCAATTCTTGTTCTGGTCCAGTAGAGTTCATCCACATTAACCCATGCACAAATCTCATCTCTTCTCTTCTCTTCCCCCATGTACAGCGTCATGGGGGGAAGCACAGTGACTGCTTTGCCTGGGTCTACATGCCCAAGACCATCAAGGCTGATAAACTACCTACTGCTCCTCTGATTTCATAATACTGGCATCACAGCATGAAAACAAAAAAAAATCTGTTCAGTGTTTGTTCTCTTTTAATTTAATGAACTATAAAAAGGGAACTCTAAATACCCACCCAAGTATTCTGGGTGCTTCAGGAGACACTGCATGCCCCAGGGCAGATTTGATTAACTCCTTGCCGTCAGTGTTTTTGCGTGTCCATTGCCAGCAACGGATGCCGTGTGAGGAGGATGAGGGGAGAAATAAAATAATTGCACTCTGTGTGACACAAAAAAAGGATTAACGCTGCCTTCACAAAAGCAGAACCAAGAAACAATTGCCCTCACAGGGCCAGGAGTGCTTCTCCCCTCAGGAGTGGAGGCCCCAGGGCAAGGAGCAGGTTCACAGCTGAGCACTCCCTGCCAGAGACAGAGGACTCACACAGAAATAGCCCAGCCATTTCAATACAAGAGTGGAATCCTACAACACATTTGTATTTCAAGCCAAATTGGTCCCTGGTGCAGCTCTGTTGACTATGGTGGAAGAACATCTAAAATTAATCTGGCCCTACAGGGCAAATATAACAAACCTTCCCCATAAACCAGCAGGAGTGAGATACATCTGACAGCTGGAAGCTCCACGTTTGTTGATAACTTCAAAAGCCAAGACCTGCCAGAGTGAATTATGAACCTGTGGCTGCCACTACCAAGCATCCTCCCTGCACTGCAGCCTTCCCTGTAGTCCTCAAATGTCCCCAATAGGATAAATTTCAACGTGTCCCTGGTGCAGGTAGTTCTACAATGGAGCCACAGCACTCCCTCCTACTCCACCTCTCTACTGCTGCTCTCGCACCCTAACTCAAAGCCCCACACAGGCAGAGCATGAAGTGTTCTTCAGGGAGGGTTTTCTTGCTTTTGGTTTTTTTTTAATAATGTATCAGGCAGCATGTCATATCTCTTGCTGCCTCCAGTTATTGTCATGACAATATGGTTGTGGTTATTTAAAGCAGGATTTGGGAAGAAAAAGCAACTCCTCTTGATACGCTGAGGCAGAACTGAGCCAGGAGCTGCCAGTGCTGAAGGAAGGCGAGTCAGTGCCAGAGGACCACATTAACCACATGAAGGTTCTGACCTTCAAATGCAATGGACTGCAGCCAGACTAAGTCATCAACATCACCAGAAACAGAGGAATCCCTGGGAAGAAAGGCAGAAAACTCTCGTGGCCTGTACAGTCTCTACAAGGTTTGCACAGCTGAGATGGGAGCTGGAATCTGCAGCAGACCCTCAGGCAAGGTCTGCTTTGGGGGTTAGAGGAGATGGGAAGACTTATACTATTTCTTGCGCCTTTTGCCAAGATTCAGATTGCACAGATTATGGTAAAATTCACTCGGCAAAAAAAGGCCTTTATTTAATAAAAAAAAAAAGAAAAAAAAAGAAAAAATTTCTAGTGAGTATCAGGACTGAGATTTCAAAAAGTACAAGATCTGTGTAAGTTCAGCAAGATGTCCAGCACCAGATTATTTTGTGGTGCAACAAAGAACCTGGGGAGAGGCCAATGGGACCTTGCGAGGGGAACACCATCTACCTCCCCAGCAGACTGCCAGTCTTGGGTTCTTCTCAACAGCAGATGGATTTTCCTTGTTCCTGCAGCATCTCGGGTCCCACGGGAGGTATTGGTTGCAAGCAAGCACCTGAATATTGCCTAATGGAGTAAGCCAATCACTAACTTAGCTGGCGTGTCCATGCCCGTCCACTAATTAGGTTTTTTTATTTTTGGATGCATTTCTGCCGTAGTATTTCTTTTTCTTCTTTCTCCACGTAAAAGTGTAAGCAAAAGGACTGCTTTCATCTGTAATAAGTTAAAATCAGAAATGACCTAACTAACAAGTAACTGATATTGGTCCTTGGAGCCCAAAGAGTAAAATCCATAGAAAATCTATTGGTTCCATTTTTTTCTGATATATCCCATGCACACCCCCATTAGAAAAATGGGGTTTATGAATCTTATCATACAGCAAGGAGCAGTACCTCAGAGCCAGAGCTGACAGTCCACGGTAGAGGTCTGGGCTCTCTCAAATTGCTAAGAGTGGTTCTGAGTCACTGCTCAATCAGTCTTCACATGGCCGTTGGCCAAGGCAACAGGGACGGTGGGGGCCCCTGGCTCAGCAGTCTCATCAAATCGTAAGCGCAGGGTGTTTCTGATCACCAGCTGCTCCATGATGAAAGAAGCACAAAACCATGGGATGGCGTACTCCAGGGTGATCAGGCCCATGAAGTCAAAATCAAACTGGGAATAGTCCCATGGGCAGGCATTGAACTGGCGCAGGATGAGGCCAGTGGTGAACTCCCAGAGGTATGTCCAAAGCGTGTAAATGAAGCAGCGCACTAAAATGTTACACTTGTCTTTGAGATATAGATACATCTTCTCCACAATGAGGATGGAGGTGCCATAGATGAAGAGTGCCCACACACTGGTAACACCTGGGAATTTCCAGTTAAAGTTGACCACAAACTCCCAGGCAGCTGTGAACATCACCTCACAGAAATAGCCGTGAATGGCGTAGAGGTACCATCGGGAGAAAGCAGTCAGAGGTTCTGCCGCAGCCATTCTTCTACACACACCCCAGCAGGCACTCTGAAATGGAGAGAGAGAGAGGGGGAGAGAGAGAGAAAAAAAGAGGAGTCAACGAGAACGTCACAAGTCATTATCCCCCAGATGGCACCACAGACAAACTTGTAACATCCACAAAGGACAAATCTGAGAAAGAAGTTTATTTTAAATAGTCTCATTTTTACCACAACAAATTTTAAGTCCTGGGGAAAGGTGGCAGCTTACCAGGCTCTGAGTCTCAGAATAGGCCCAGACAACATATACAGCTCTGCCTGAGAAGCAAGACGCAGCTGGTGTTGCACTGGTGATAAGGAGGGAGCCGACAGGTACAAGGGCTTTGCCACAAGTGAGGCTGCCAAAGAACTTACTGGTTCCAAGTCAGTAGAAAAATACAGTCATCTCACAAGGAGTGCACATCACCTTTTTGCTCTTTTCAAGAAATAGCACTGTCCCTTGCTTTTCTGATTCTAATATGGAATAGATTAGATGAACACAGCATCGAAAACCTGGGCTCTTCCAGTCTCTATACCCAAAATGTTTACTCTAGTGAAAAACTGAGCTTTGATGGGAGCTACAGAAAGGGAAGTGGAGGAGAAAACGTCAGAGGTTTCACACTTTCAGATACCACACCTTGCACCCACTACTCAGCTGAACTGTTATTTCTTCTGTTAAAGAACTTGTGCATTGTATGGCTAGGATTTGGAAAATAATTTTCTTATGGTGTCAGACTGCCTGATACCAAGTCAAAAAGCACAAGAGAGCCATTGAAATCCATTCAGATTTGGCTTCAGGACAGCAAAATACAAAGGATGAGAATAAAAAGGAACAGCTGAGCATAGAAAGAGGTGGTTAGTCATGATAAATAGGAAATGAGAACAAACTCTAATTGTCTCTACAGGAAGAAACTTGGTGAAGAGGTTCTGAAAGGGCACAATTTGCTTATCACTGAACTGTTTCAGCACAATTGGTTTTTACACTTTTTGCAGACATTTACAAGGTCCTAAGCAACGCTCTGCCACGCTACAATCACTGGCCCAAGCTGATTTTAAGCCTAATTTTACTGAAGGCTTAGAGATTTACAGCACAGGGTGAATTTGACCTCTTTCATTCTTAGAAACTTACTCTTTCAAGTTGGGTTTCTCTTGACTCTTCAGGCACTATTTAACTTCTTTGCTCTAGACTTGTCAGTTGTGGCAGAAGGCGCTAGGAAAGGCCCACACTAACCTTAGGTGCAGTCATTCCAACGCCATCTGGAAAGAGACTGTTCCTGCCCTGCCCTGTAAACACAGTGGCTCTCTGAACAAAGTATTAACATGAACTATGACTGAAATTCTGATAGGAGATGAGAGAAGAGAAACGTTTATGAGGAAAAAGGAACTATAATAACCAACATAAAGATATACAGAATATTCACAGGGGAATACCGGAAGTGGAAAGGACAGAGTTGTATCCATGACCTGTTCACTCCTCTCTTAAACGGACAGCCAAACAACCAAAGTCTTGGTAGTTCATATTATGTGGGCACTTGAACAAAGACATATTTCCTAACGGCACAATCCATCTTACACAGGACACTGAACTATCATCAGATGCTGCAGATCTGGGTCAAGAGCACATTGTGAGCTTGTGGGTGAAAGACTAGAGTCGCTAGGAATTTGCTCATGTCTCCTACCAGTTCAGTCCCAAGAGATCCTGCAAGATCGCAGTGGGGGTGGCACATGAGAAATACGCAGGGGGTGTATTTCCACACAGTCCACAAGAAGCTGATATGTAAGGGCACCGCAAACTTTCTTTCTGAGAAGAATGAGTTTGTCAATGTAATGTGACTTGGTTCATTTGCCAGCAAAATTGGTAAGTTTAGGAGTTTGACTCTTCATATCATTCCTCCATTCCCACATAATTTCAAGAACAAATCAATAGTCAAAGGTAAAGGAGTAAAGGAAAGCAGTAAGAAGGAAATGGACTGTAAGTAACTTTTGTCAGAATGGGGATATATGGATGCAGCAGGAAGGGAGAAGTTTTTTATATCTGAGTAGACAGACATCAAAAAATGCAGAGGCCTTAGAAGTCATACCTATTGCTAGGTAAGGCACTGAGGAAATATGGAATGTCATTCTCCAGGGAAGAAAATGATTGTAAAGTTTTTACTAAGCTGCCAAGGGATTGTGTGGTTTTCCTTTCTTTTCAATAAGCCTTTCTAAGCTTTTCCACTTGTGGTCCTTAGTCCTTGCACTTCCCTCTACAGCTTTACATGAAATGTATTTGAACTGTTAGCTGGGAGCATCCGCAGCATGCAATACTACCTGTAAGGTTTTCCTAGTAATTTTGAAAATCTGTTCACAAAGTTGAATCAAATGTGCAGAAGGTCCTTCCCTCTCAGTCCATTCCTTCTTACTCCAAGGATCCCCTCACCAATTATTTCCATCGCCTTACACCTGCCCACCAAAGCCAAAGACTCAGAGAAACATACCCAACAAGCCACGTCCTGTTCTACCCCACACTACTTCCTCTGTGCAACCTCTGTGCAATGAAGATCTCTCTTTCCCGGTTCTATACCGCATACTTAATAATTATCTGTTTATTCTCTACTTCTTTTTTACACTTTGCAAAATATCCAGTCACTACACTAGAAGTCTAATAACTGAATCTAGACCAGATCTGGGATAATGTCTACAATACAAGTTAACCCATTGCAAGGACCACTGTTGACTTCTTTTGAATCCTGAGCCTTTCACCACAACTGCAAGGAGACAAGCATCAGTGCGCTGAGACTTTCTCAATATTTGCTTTCTACTGTCACATGGCCAATCAGCCTAACCACGATGGGAACTTCCTTCTTATGATATGCTTGAAAAGAGTCCTCACAGGCTGCCTGCTGGTTAAGAGCATCCCAAGACAAGGCAGATCCCAAACTGTGGTAGCACAAACATAAAGTGGTTCCACTGTGCTAGGCACTAAGCAAATTCATAAGCCACAGCTCCTCGTGTAAAATATTTCATTCAAAATAAAATAAAACGTACACAGTAAGACATAGAAGGGAACAGAGGATACCTAGGAAGACTATGACAAGCTACAGCACATCGTTACACAAGTTGGGGACTGTGCAACGTAATAGTTACAAGCCACTTGAGCATTTATAAAACAATTAAAATTGCAGCTGTTCCCAAGCATCTTATTTCCCAGCCATACCAAATTGGCTGATGCCTCGTAGGCAATACAGCACAAGAAGCTCTCAAGAGGGAAATGAAGGAGAAAAGTGTTGTTTTATTGGGCAGTAATTCATGATAAAAGGATCAAGCTCAAAACTAGTTGCAGGACATTAATGGAAGAAGCACCCAAATAAAAGGCCTAGACTGGATTCAGGAAGAGATGCAGATTTGTGACAAGCCTCAAGTAGATAATTGAACTTGGTGATGCAAGACTTTTAATGGAGTGACAGTAATACAGACCAAAAAGCTCTGAATGCATGATAGCTATTCAGTCTCCTGAGGAAAACAAATTACATTCATCACTGAGGTAGTAGCAGTGGAATGGGCAGCAGCTTCCTGAAAACCAGACACATAGCTGCCACCTATGCAATTGTCTCAGCAGAGAGCAAACAAGTCACGGAGACTGCACATGGGTGGCCATGCTTGTACTGAGGCTGCTCATACTGTGTCCGTGTCTGGGAATCAAGGAGCTGCTAAATTCAAAGCTATGAAAATGCTTTCGATCATCAGCAAATTATATTTCAAGCAGCTAAAATAGAAATAGTTCCCAGTAGGAACCTTTCCCCAGCAGGATCTTCTCTTCCAGCTTGCTGATAGAAGAAAAAAGGCAAGTCTATGGAAACCATACATGGGCCTCCGAGGAACACGCAGTCCTTTCCCCAGCTGCCCTGCCTGTGCGGATAACGCTGCTGGCAATGCAGGGGGCAAGAGCCCATCCACCTACAGCGAACAAGCCCAGGTCTAGCAGGGGGAAGTGTATGAAGGACGGCGTTTCTCTACAGAAATCTGGTTCAGAGGATCAGGGCAGGGCACTGACTTAGGGCTGCAAGAAAATAATACTGTAACACCACAAAGATTATACTTTTATGTTTTAGAATATCAACTCTGAAATGGATATTAATCATCTCTTAGGTTGAGGTAAGATACAGATAAACCTGATGCACCAGGCCAAGTAAGGAGAAAGGACATAAATCCCAGACCACCCCACTTCACGTGCAAGACCTTTCTGTGCAAGAGGAGCATACTCACATTCGGTTCTGCACATGAAAGGCAGGCAAGAGGCAAGTGATCAGAAAACGGGTTGATGGCAGACCAAGAAATAATGGCAGATTTGTCACACACAAGCACTGCAGAGGAGACATCAGTGCATGTCGTATTCATGCCTGGTTAAGTTCTTGAGCATTGCCTGGTTCATTTTTTTCAAAGCTCTCCTTTGCAGTGGCTTTCTGCCTGTTTCCCTGCTACCAAGCCAAACTGTACTTCAAAAAGTCTCTCACAGATTGTCTTTATTCCCTCTACTTCAGCAGAATTATTTAGACTCACCGCCTCTGGATGGGTATAATAAGACCTCGTCAAGATACTCTGAGTTAACTCTGAAGTGCTAATAAAAGAAAAATACAGACTAAAAACCTCCATGAGACAATTTCCCTGCTTAGTGATGGCCTGAGGTGATAAATTCTGTCAGCTACTTGATTCACCACAGATGAACTTGAACTACTGCAGGAAGTTCCTTATTCTTAGTGCCCGGTTGTTTCTGCCAGTTAAAAAATTAGGGCACAGTGTTATTTTACAAATTCATATTTTAAGTACTTACTAATATTTAGTTTTATAACATGCATGTTCATATTTCTAAGAAATGCTTTAGATACATCTATAACTCTATGTTACATGTCATAATTACTTTTTAATTTGAAAGAGTAACTGCAGAGGCAGCACATATGTAGTAAGATACTCCAAATGACAGGACTGCAAGCAGCAGACAACTCTGAAGTAGAGGGCACCTGCCACTCCCTAACCGTAAGCTCTACTGCTTAT